TGAACAATGTGGGGAGGATCGGGCGGTATAGATTAGGTTCTCAAAGTTGGGCATCATGACGGCGAAAGATGGCTCTAACGACGAGCAGTTGACAGACGACCAGAATACTAACGTCCGGCAGGCGTAAATGCGCTCGCCGCTCAGTTCTCCACCCTGAATCGCTTCCATATTGCCTGTAGCGTTGATAGTGGTAGCAGGAGTGCTTGTAGCGGATGATGTGCTTGTAGCAGGAATGCCCGTACCGCCAGAAGCGATCTTATCCGTCGCATTGCTCGCTGCTGCGAGAGCGGCAGAAAGAGCAGACGCATCCCCCAGCCAATCGATCTTGAACGACCGACTCGCGCTAGGCCGTGGGATCCGGAGGCAGCTCGCGGCAGGGCTCGGCAAAACAACGGTGACGGGCGCGGAGCAGGAAAACGTTTCGTCCGGGCAGCTGGTAATTGCGGTGAGCATTGAAATCTGCAAGCTTCGGCCCGGTTTCAACGGCACCGACGGCACCGACGGCGTCGGCCGCTTTGGAAGGCCCGACGGGCCCATGACTTTGTGGAGAGTTGTTTCCATCTCACCCGTCGACGCGACACTTGCGGCGGAAGTTATGGAGGCATTTGCGGTGATCGACGCGAGTGAAAGGGCGAGGAGGAGACCGAGCAGGAGCAAGCTAGGCGAGGCGGGGAGCCGCCATCTGTGGCGACACGGTGTTACCCGATGACTGCGTGGCGAAACTCGTTCAGGGTTCTCCGACATTACGAGTGACGACATCTGTCTCGTCCGCAATCGCCGCTCCTTGCTCAGCACGGGAGCGAAACAAGCTCGCTATACGGGGCGCTCCGAGCACCACTCTCTACGCGGCGCTTACGCTAAGTGGCTTCAACCTGCACTCCTTTCAGGGTCTTGTGTCTTCCAACCCCCTCGTTAGTACATCACATGACGCGAGCGAGCTCTCACGCAAAGCCAAAGGCACGCTGTGCTGCTCATTCGCGTCAGCCATCATGGCGGATTAGAGTAGCAATGTGAAGAGGTTGTCGGTCGCTGATTGATTACCGCTGTGAAAATCCAGAGAGAATGGAACATACTGTACTCAAAGGGGACTGAAAAACATAAAAAAGAGTTCCTGGCAGAAGGGATCTCTGGCTGGAGGTGTTATGTAGTCTGACTAGGCACGAGTCGTGCCCTGCTGGTTGATGTTCGCGTTCGCGGTGGCTGAAAAATTGTATCGGGCTGATGGAATTGCTTGGACCTATGATCTTTCAGACACCCTCTGCGATAAGTTGTAGCACTTCGTCGCGCAGATCTCAGCGACAATCTGTGTAGTGTGACTGCTTGATTGGCAGTGAGGGCTATCTCAGCAAAGTTCGATTGCTATGGCGGCACAGGGCTACATGGAACAGGCGATACAGTTGGAAAACGGTACTGGCGACTGTTCTGTAGCAAACGAGAGACTGGCCTGGAGGCTTGCAATGATGGTAGATTGAAGACAAATTGCATTTCCATCATTGACTAGGCAGAAGACGAGGCAAGCGAAGTATATGTTTGCGACGGGTGGCGAAGAGGCGTGGCATGGTTGCTCGGCTGTGAGGGCAAGGCTGCGAGGATTGACGAATAGAACGGCGAGAAAACACACCAGTTACGATGGTTGCGAAGGCACACAGGAAGTTGGTCTGTCAATGTTTATTATGTGAGACAAACAAGATTTTCGACGATGCGCGTCATTTCGCCGGAAATGGGATGAGGTTTGCGCGGCACGAGATTGGGGAGGAGGGCATGGGGTATGTGACGACGATGAACGAAACGAGTTACCAGCAGAAGTGCTACCTAGCAGTGAATTATCTATTGAGAAACGTATGTAGAGCTAGCTATTTGAGAGTTTAGTGTTGTATTCATGATTGTTGTAAGGAATTTTCGCCAATTCCTTACTGAGGCACCTCTTACTCGTACAACCCCAATTTTCGGAATGCAGGCTCGGTCCGTCGACCTCGCCTTCCGAACGTCTTCCGCGTCGCCTTCGGGTTTTCCAAACCCAAACCTTCACCCAACCCTCGCATGACTCCGCGGTCCTGGCTTAGCTAGCTATGCTATATTATGCCTAGGCCCCGTTGTTTGCGCAGTAGTTGTAATCACTTCCGCGATATTATATTCTGCGCACTCTTCTTTCATACAACTCATAACAATTGTGATGGAAATGAATGTTGATAAAAAGGGTTGAATGTGGACACATGACGGGACGAAGGGACCACCCTGGAAGCAGTCGTGCGGATATGTGGGGTTGTGGTGGGGAGCTTAGGGCGTGTGGGATTGTTTTTTATGTTCGTAAATGGATCGAACTGTGGATGGTAGCCTTGTTCGTTCATGTCGTTAATATTTTCGTCAATGTTGACTTCAATCTGAAAACTACCAAATCCGAACATAGAAAAGTGATCAAGAGTCGAGAATATGGCCAAACGTGGTTTTGCATAATGAACCGAACGTGTGTGATTTCAGGCCCGTACGAGGAGTCAGTCAC